CTCAAGCTAAGCAACTTGGGGATGTTTTGCCCAACAGTTATAACATCTTTTCCTTCGGCAAAATTTAGCCAGAGAAACGCATTTAGTTTTCTTACGGTTGAGCGCTGCTGCAGTCACCCCCATTAAAGTTTTAAACCATATTAAAAAAAATATAAGTTTAAACCTTTTTTTTTTTTTGAATGGATTATATTAGGGGTGGAGGAATTCAAATATTAACTTTTGAGTTAAAAGATGTAACTTTAATAAAATATAGAGTTATTGAGTCACGAGATTCATATATGTAAATTTAAATCTTTTTTTATATTATTTAAGTACAAATAATTTAAATAAAATGTAAATTTTTATTTAATATAAAATAATATACATATAAAATTTGCTAAGTAAAAATATATCATGTTATAAAAAAAATATCAGCTAGAGAAAGATTCTCTCAATGTCCAAACTACTGAAGAAAAGTGTCAATTCAAACATGAAAATATCAAATCACCCATGATGCATCCCCGCATAAATTAGACCACTAACATATAAAAAGTAAATTACACCATTATTTATTTTTGAACGAAGATAATAATTATTTATTCATGATAAGCCATACCACACCAGCCACCTACAATAGATAATAATTATTTATTCATGATAATAATTATTTAAATAATATATAAAATTATACTAAAAAATAATATAAAAAATTATTCTTTGAATATATATTTTTTTAAATTATAAATTATCAGTTTAGCTTGGCACATAAATTGGGCTAGGTGAAGTACAAATTGTACAAAACCAAAATCAAATTTGACATTTTGGGCCGGTTGAGATGAGATTATGAGAATATATTCCATTCCCAGTTCTCTTTTCGGTTCAGCCCACTACTTAGAGTCGGCCCAGCTTTCCTGTTGGTTTGGTCTTCTCCTGGTTGCACCGTCCTGCTGTAGCTTGTAATCTCCATCGAAGTATCTTTTGCGCCCGTCGCTTCGCCGGAGAGTCGGAAGCTCATAGCCGAGGCGGTCGTTATAACAATCGGAAGAATGAACAGGTACCAATTTAACACTTTAGTTTCCTCCCAAAGCATGCAATAGTTTCCCGGAATTTTCTTCCCTTAACAACTGGCTCTCTCTTGTGATTTTGCTCCGAATGACGGATCCGCCGCTTGAAACAGGACGGTTGCTAGAAAACTCGCCGGAAATTTTCATGGATTCAGAATTCCGTGGAGGAACTTCTGCAACAATGCGACTGCCAAAGCGTATAGCTCGAACAGCGGCCAGCCTTCCACTGTAATATTCTTTCACCTTTTATGCAGTTCTTATTCTTAATTCATTATTTTCGATTTTTTTTTATTTCACTTAAATTTGTTTTTGGGGACTCATAATCTTGTGAAGTGGAGTCCTTGATTTAGTTGATTTGTTCTAACATTGCAGGAGACTAGTGATCAACAATATGACATTGCAATCATTGGAGGAGGCATGGTTGGCATGGCTCTTGCTTGTTCCTTGGGTGTGTAACAGTTTTAATACTGCAAATTCTTCCATTATGTAATTTACCTTGTTCTAAGAACCGTGCCCGATGCCCTGATGATGGTAAATTTTAAAAAAGAAACATGTTTGATCTCAGCCCAAATACGGTGTTCACCTTACACCTCTGAATATGTAGATGCGTGTGTGTGTGTCAGTGTTGTATCTGCAAATTGATTGATGAATGTATGTTGTTTTATTTCTAGGATAATTTGGTTTTTCAACAATCAGTACAGCATGTTGGTTGATGATATTAATTTTTATTATGTCTTGGCAGCAAACACACCATTGACAAAACATTTAAATGTTGCCATCATTGATAGCAATCCTGCTTTGGGAAGAAGACCCTGCATTAATAAAGAAGACATCCCTGATCCTAGGGTCAGTACAGTTAGCCCTGCATCTATATCTTTCTTCAAAGGTAGAGAACCGGATATGATCTTTTACCTTATTTCATGCCAGTTTCAATATTTCCATGTTTTTCTGAACATAGATTTCCAATGTGTTAATATGATATTTATTAAAATCTCTCATTTTGAGCAAGCATCTACTTCATTGACTATAAATATTACATTGACAAGTTGGATTCTCCCATTAAAGTAAGCTAGTGCGTTCTATGCTTTTCTTTAATAATTGAAATCATTTCAACCATTGCCAATTATGTGGTTTCATATTTAAAAGGAGAAGGGGATCAGTGATAGTTTTTTGGACTGCTAGTTTTGCTTTTGGTAACAATAGTTGTATACCTGCAGATATTGGTGCTTGGCAATATGTTGAGCAGCATCGACATGCATATTTTGATAAGATGCAGGTACTTGATGCTATATTTTCTTTTTGCACGGCATTTTCCTGTTCACATTGATTTAAATTTATTTTCATTATTTTGGGGTAGGGAGTGGGGCTGATGATTTTGGATTACAATGCACCATATATTTGTAATTTTCAATACTTTTAATGATATGAATTTAAGCAGTTATTTAAGAAAAAATATAGCTATAAATTTCAAATATGTTCAGATGTGTTATTTTCTTAGATATACAAGCAGAATGCTGAAATTTTCTGGTTTCAGATATGTTCTAAAAAAATATAGCTATAAATTTCAAAATCATGAACAATGAGGCCATGCATCATGGGCATCCAGAAAGATGCACATTCTGGCACTCTTGGCTGAGCAGTCTGAAAAAATCTGAAATTTTGAAGTAAATGATGATGTTTTTAAAAAAAAAAAAAAAAATTATATACGTACTTTGTGGAAATGAGTGGGACATAATCCTTTTTTTGTCCATTTCATATTGCAAAATATGGCTAAAATATTGAGAGATTTCTAATAATTTTCAATTTTCAAAATGTAGTGAGCTTAATGGATTCATGTCATAATATGTTTGGATCTCTTTTCTCAGTGATGTTATGTGTGACTTGTGCTCTTATTTCCTCTCTAGTTGAAGGATCAATTTGCTTTTTACCAACTTTTACTGCTTTAGTTTTTCTCTCACCAGAAAGGAGCACTAGTGTGCTACTTACATATCCTTGTTTCATCTTGACGCTTTTGATTTTTAAAAAAAGACTGATAATATCTGAATAATGTTATGATCTCACTTTAATCTTCTCTAGGTTTGGGATTATACTGGTTTAGGATACACAAGGTACAATGCGCTGGATGTAAACAAAGATATTTTGGGGTAAGCACGCACTTAATGAGGGAAAGAAGATCTTTGTAATGTCATAGTCACTAAGTGACATTCTTGTTTTGAACTTTGGAATTCAGGTGTGTTGTAGAGAACAAGGTGCTTCTGAGTTCTCTATTGTCATGTATGCAGGTATTCTTCTCTGTGAATCATTAATACTTTTCTACATGAAATTCAGGTTGACTAATTATGCGATCAATCTTTTGCCTAGTTACTGGTTTCCTCTGCTCATTTATCCTCTATTGGTGCATCACCTGCACTTGCTTTGATAAATATGCAAATTATAAATTTGAATGGTCGTCCTAGGAAAAACTTATTGCCTTTCTGAGTTCTTCTATTTCTATGATGTTTTTGGCAGTTCAAATGAAACCTTAGAACATTAAACTCTTACAGAATGCAGATTCACAGAAGAAAATTTATGCTTCAAGATTAACCTCAATGGCCATATTGCCAAATTCTTCTTCCATGGGAACAGATGGCATGTTATCACCAACGGCATTGTTCAATCATGGGCGTTTAGCAAAGCTGGAACTGAGTGATGGAAATAGCCTGTATGCAAAGTTGGTGGTAATTGAACTTGGACATGGATGACTTAGTTTCCCCTTTTAAATATAATAGGATGGAAGTCATAAATAATTTCTATTTGGAGGTTGGACCTTCTGAATAACATTTTGCATTTGAAATGTTTCGTTGATGTCAAGATGAATGAATTCTTCTCAGGTGGGAGCTGATGGGGGCAAGTCACGAGTTAGGGAGTTAGCAGGATTTAGAACAACTGGGTGGAACTATTCACAGAATGCCATAATATGTACTGTAGAGCATGAAGTGGAAAACAATTGTGCATGGCAGAGGTTTTTACCTGCTGGTCCAATTGCACTTTTGCCAATAGGTGATAAGTTTAGCAATATTGTTTGGACAATGAATCCAAAAGAGTCATCAGAATGCAAATCGATGGGTGAGGATCTTTTTCTGAAAGTTGTAAATCATGCTCTGGATTATGGATATGGCCCTCATCCTACGTCAAGTTTGTTGGGTAATTCCGATGTTTTATCTTGGCTCAAAGGAGACATGGCAATATCAACTAAAGAGTGCTTTGAAGTTCCACCAAAAGCAGTCAAGTTGATTTCTGAAAGAATGGTTTTCCCATTGTCTTTAATGCATGCTAACGACTATGCAGCAAGGCATGTTGTTCTAATTGGTGATGCGGCACATACTGTGCATCCTTTAGCTGGTCAAGGAGTAAATATGGGTTTTGGAGATGCATCTGCTCTTTCAAGAATCATTGCAGAAGGGGTTGCAGTAGGCACAGACATTGGGGAGGTATGTGTGGAGCTAACCATTCTTGTTCCATGTTGCAAGTCATTACACTCTTTTGGGACCTGGCATTTGGAAAACAGGCATGTAGAGAAAGTTTGGAATCATTTTAACAGGGTCTTGGTATGAGAAAAGAGATAAAATGCATAAAACCAAAAAAAAAAAGAGTTAATGAGGTTAAGAAATGCAGTTTCCATGATAAAATCATTTATTTATAAAGGGTTGGCACAACTTAAGGGGGTCTTAAATGCATCTTTTATGCATTAATTTACATGGAAAAATAAAAGAAGTTGGTAATTAATTTTAACATCTATGCCATGTGGATATTTTTTATTGGACAATTGGTAAAATTAACGTCAATTTTTATTTTTACTATGTGTATTCATGATAAAAAGGTGCAATAAATACACCCTTAACCTTTGTCCTAAGGCACAAGTTAGAAAAACCCTACCAAGATTTTCTTTATGTATTAGTTAATAAATACACATATACAATTTCATACATCAGTTGCATTCAAAGCAGTTAATAGGCAAAACCAGAATTGTGTACACACTGATTTCTCCTCCTCTCAAGAAAAAGGAAACTTGAAGATAAAAAATGATTTTGATGCTCTGTTTCTTTAGAAGGGATGTTATGGTTTTAAGTATTTTTTGCAGGTATCATTGTTGAAGAAATATGAATCAGACAGAAAAGCAGCAAATGTTATGATGATGGCAGTCCTGGATGGTTTTCAGAAGGCATACTCCATTGATTTTGGTCCTCTCAATATTTTACGAGCTGCTGCTTTTCATGGTGCTCATTATATTTCCCCACTTAAAAAGAGTATCATTTCGTTTGCCTCAGGGGAGCAAAGATTGCCATTATTTTCTTAAGGACCCTGGTACCTTAGAAAATAAGCTCAGCCATAGATCATGAACACAATAAATAGAAGTTATACTCTTACTGTTTTGTACTTGTACACAGAAGTATCATAGAGAACTTGTTTGTTTGCCATCTTTTTTAACTCGATTGAATGCAGTTGCACTCAACGGGTGGCATTGTGTATGCAATATGGTATATGCAGTAAACAATGAGTTAAAAGTTTGGCCCATAAAGAAACCCAGAGAGAAGGGGCTTTCAAGTTTCAACCTTTGTTATTGAGTTTGCATGCTTACCATGTTAGTGCCTCTTGTATGATCTACAGTATCTTGAGTATTTAACTTGGATCAGATGAACCATATATAGTTTTTTTCCCTTCTCCTTTAACAAGTGAAATTCATGAAGAGACCGAATTTGTATGAGTTTTTTAGTCATGAACATCATATGAATATCTAACAGGCAAGCAGCAAAATGGCTGTTAAATAACATTTGGTGTGAGTTTCATGTCTATTAGTATAAGAAATCAGACAGTACTCTACCATGCAATGATGGTTACTCTGCCATGCAACGATGGTTAGGATCATGAATAGTTTATCCTTCACTTATTGTCTTTATAATTAAGGAGAGAGGTTTTATCAAAAGAGATGCTAAAATATTGGAGGAAACCAATTGCAAAAAGATGAATTAATGGACAAAAATAACATATTGTTCTGCCACTTTCCATTGTTTGTCCTGATCTTTTTCACGAATTCCAAGTCAAACTAATCTTCACTCCATTGGTGGTGTTAATGTAATGCTGGTGCATATCTTGTCATTTGGGAAATACCAAATGTTGTCAATGTTAGTAACTTCAAAGACAAAACATGGGAATCAAAATTGGAATTGCTCTCTCAAAGAATGTAGATCATTTGGAATAGTTGTTTACAAGTGTTTTTTGAATAAGTCAAAAATTAACTATAGATAATAATTATAAACAACAAAAAATACTAAAAAAAATTTAACTGAATAAACAATTTATGAACTAGTCTATATATCGAAACGATAAATGGGTACTGTGAGCACAAACTCCTTGAGTCAGTTCTACTCCCACTGGTTCTAGTGTTTTTAGCTTCCTCCTTCTATCTCATGCTGCCTTGGCTTGGTAACTTGATGATCAGGAACATAATTGCAGAAAATAATAGTCGAAGGATAAAATTGCTTTTTACCTCAAACACAAGGGACCTTTAGAGAAGAGAAGCAAAAAAAAAAAAAAAAACTTGCGGCCACATGTCCATAATTCATACGCGGCGAGCAAAACTCGTCAACAATCCCCCAGAAAACGCTCTAAGCAACGAATCTAGCCGGAATCACGTCCAGATTCATCTTCGTCCTTTTTCTCTCTCTCCCTTCCCCTCTCTCAGAACCATAAAACCTCCCGTTTCCGCCTTCTCTCTCTGTTTTTCTCTTCCTCATCTCCCCTTCCTTTCGCCATTGAAGTTTCTTTCCAGAACTTCGGATCTTCTTCTTCTTCTTCTTCTTCTTCTTCTTCTCGTTTCCTCTTTTCGGATACAAGCTTCCGGCGACAACTGTAGAGAGAAAAGGAGAAGGATGAGCCAGAGAAAAGGAGAGACTCCATATCACGTCCTCCACAAGCTTCCTCCCGGCGACAGCCCTTATGTCAGAGCCAAGCATGTTCAGGTACATATACAGATATACTTACGTCCACGATCCATTCATCTATGAAATATGAATGCATCAATGATATCTCATTTATCTTGAAATATTTTCATCTTGGTTTCCTTCTATTTCAA